AAGAGGATGGCGATGTTGTAGCGGACGCCAAAGAGGATGGAGATGTTGTAGCAGACGCCAAAGAGGATGGCGATGTTGTAGCAGATGCCAAAGGAGACAGTGATAGGGATGTTGAAGGCAAAACTGAGGCCCCCCAAGAAGAAGAAGAAGATGAGGGTCGGGATTCAGGTGATTACTATGAAGAGGCAGAAGACGAGCCTTTTGAAAGCCAGCCGACTTCAGACTCCTGTCACAGCATGCCTGACTTCACAGCAGATGTCGAGTTACACCAATCTGACGCAGTGCCTGAGGAAGAAGCCAAGCCTGTGGCCGAGAAAGTGAAAATGTCAGATGGACACTACTGCCTAGACTTGCCATTCAGACAAGAAAATCCCAGCTTGCCTAACAACAAACACGTTACCGAGCAGCTCATCTGCGATTTTGCTGCTATGGTAGCAGGGCACCGGCTGAACCCAAGTGACAGACCTGAAGAAGTGACTGACTCATCAATGCAGGAGCCCTATAAGGAGAGGCTTGGAATTGGATGAAAATATAACCCACAGGTTCTCTCGGCGCTGGACGGGATGGCAACACTACTGCTTCAACCTAAGAACAGCAAAGACTGATGACCCTTAAAATAAGGGAGAAGAAAATAAACTACAAATTATTTAAGAATTACATGCTAACACATACACACCATTTGTATAGCTCCTTTATTATTTATTGGTAATTGTTTTTGTTTTCATACTAAAGCCAATTAGGGGCCGGTGTGTAGGAGCCATTTTGTGGGTGATGTTGGTGTGTCAGTTTATTTAAGTTATATGTATAGTGCAATATTATTTATGAACACTGGGTGGCGGGGTTTAGCTGCACCGGGTGTATATAAGGAGGTCATAGGTGACAGGAGATGTGTGGACACAGTAGGAGAAGAGCATACCGATTCCAGCAGCCCGGCAGATGCTCATAGAATCACTAGAACGCTAAATTAACCCTGGTATGTAAAGACGAATAAACATCATCATAAACCACAACTAAGGAGCGGAAAATCATCTGTTTGTGTCTGCGTCTGGATCACTTTTCAACCCTTCTGTGAAAGTAACGGCAAAAATATATAGGACACAGGAAAAGGAAATTGCCATTACACAGGGCATACAAGGGGTGTAACATTATTTGAATACCAAAACTATATTGAAATAGAGTCTCGCTTGAACAGCAACTGCGTAGCTGTAACATTACTGGGTTATTAGGTGATAACTACGAAAGTAAAGTAACTTAAGACGCAGACGTCACGTAGCTTCTCAGACGAGAGGGGTGGCGACGAGAGTGTCACGTTACTTCTCTCGCGGCATAGTTCACGGCATGGGCCCCTTCTCACTTCTCTTATTTTTCATTTCCTCGCTCCTCGGTCTCGGTCTCACCGGAAGTTGATTTGTCTGCGCCATCTTGAGTAGCGTCCCAATGGAGAGGCGAAGTCACGCCCATCTACTTCCGGACCATGGGACCCCGGAAGCGAAACATTTACATTGAATTCAATGGAGAGAGAACACGTATCTTTTGATCCCGTTTGAATTGTGCCACGAACTACACATATGATGTTTGTCAATCTTAAACAATCATTTCCATGTAAAAAAAGTCACATTTTGTCGTAAAACTGCTGAAATATAAGACTATGAAAAATACGCTACTACAAAGACTACAAATCCCAAATCCCATTCTGGGTCGCGTAAGTGATGTCACAGGCATGCTCGGTGATTTAATAATAAAACTCGTAATTAAAGCGAAGAAGATCTCATAACTGATTTATTCCCTTCAATAAATTATAGATCGCTAAAAATAAATTCACTTTTACAAGATGCCTGTGTGCTTTGTACCAGGTTGTAGTCATAAAAGTGATCATACCACTTGCTCCTTCTATCGATTCCCGTCTGATGAAAGGACCAGGAGTCGCTGGATCAGACATATCAGGTAATATCATAGGTAATATACATGTTGTGCATGTTCATGTGCATAGTCAAGTTAGCTACCTAGCTAGTAGCGACGAGTAGCGAGCACGTTAGTTAGCATTACTTTACTTAGCCTTGTCATTTTTAGTAGCCTTACCATGAAGTTATTATTTTATTACATGAAGTAAACCAACATTTTAAACAGTAAGAGTAGTCATGATGGTAAGTATTTCGTGAAACATTTGAAGCGTAGCCTACTGCGCCATCCACCGGGTGCTAAGGAAGCAGTCAGGGAGAGTCGAAGGCAGGCAGGGAGCTTTGCATGACATTCTTCTGGACGTGTTTCATTGTGATGACAGTAAGGGTGAGTCAATCTGTTTGTTGGAAAGACAGTCGTTGTGTGCTTACTGAGAGAAAATTATTAGAAGAGATAATTATTCAAAGTGTTACTTTCAAGTGTTGTTACTGACCTTTTTCTCTTTTATTTTATTTACCTCACCTGTAACTGCTGAGACGTTGAGGAACATGCACACTGGACTGACCTGGCAACCTGATTTCCACTGTACGTATTTGGTTATGGTATATTATTTATATATATCAAAGGCACATTGCACCCCCCAGAGACACACATGTATTGAGTGTGATATTTTGCATAGGTCAAGTGAAATCATCTTTACATACTAGAAAACTGTAGGAGCGGCAACTTGTTTTGAAAATTGAATTTTTAATATCCGATAATAAAGTTGATCTGTTTTCTTTATTCTTCTCTCTTCCCAGCTCCACCCATCACCGTTCTCTGTTCCTGCAGGTCCTGCTTGCTAATCAATGCTTTATTTTTTTACACAATTACAAATGAAGTCAATGTATTGTATGACATGAAGTTGTGCTTCATTCTGAGTCAATAATAAATTAATTCTGCCTTCAACTGCAAAATGATTGTGGACTGCACCGACATCCATGTAGCTGCCCCCCAGTAAGATGAACCAAGCAAAGTTGACATAGTCAACATACAGCTGTGCTCTTAAATTGACATGAAGAATTTGTGAAATATTGGTAATTATTTGGAAAAAATGACGGACGATGCAGAAAACCTTTTTTATTTAGTAACAGTGGTCAGGTGAAGCATTTATCCCTACATATGTGTCACACTTAAAAGGCCAAACACACTGTTTGGCCTTAAGAGCTCTGTCTTACTTAGGGTTCAACTAAAACACATACAAGCTGAATGTTACAAGTGCTTCACAATATAAATACAAGAGTGCAGACTGTTTAAACTATGGGTAGGCGGGCTATTTGGCAGGTTTAAATGATTGTTAGTAATGAATTATATAATTTTCTCATTGTAGACGAGCAGACAGGGAGCCAGATGAGAAAAGCCGAATATGCAGCTGCCATTTTCCTCATGGAAAAGAGAAAGGGCCAACTGTATTTGAGTGGACCAAAGAGAAAGGGAGCTTAGCGGTTAATCAGTCCAGCGACCACAGCTACAGCAAAGGGCCAGAGTCTGCAGAAACTGACCCCAAATTCTCCAACGTGCAGTCCGCAGACACCGAACCTGGACCCTCCAGTGTGCAGTCCAGTTGTTCCGCAGACCTGGCAGGGGATACTTGGATGCGAATGGCCAAATATTCAGCAGCAGGCTTACCTGATGATGTAATCCGTATGGAAACAGGGCTTCCTGATCAGGCCATGTTTAAAAGGGTGGCGGGGTTGGTGGAGCGCTTTGAGGGCTCCATTGTCTATTTCGCTGGATGGAAAGTGGAGGGCATCCTGCTGGCAGACCAGGTCTTCATGGCCATGATGAAGATCCGGCAGAATTATCCTCACCTGCACCTTGCACAGCTGTTCCACTGCAGTACCGCAACAGTGGGTAATGTGGTGAACACCATGGTCCATCTGCTCCACAGGTTGCTGTTCAAAAAAATGATGTCCACTGTGCCCAGTAGGCAAAAAAACCAAAACAGCATGCCTGCTGCTTTCCAGTCCTCTGCCTTCAACTGCAGAATGATTGTCGACTGCACCGACATCCACGTGGCCGCCCCAAGTCAGATGGACCAAGCCAAGCTGACATACTCCACCTACAGAGGGATGCACTCCTTCAAAGTGCTCATCTCTGTGGCCCCAAATGGAGTCATCAACTTCTGCAGCCAACTCTTCCCGGGCTCTGTGTCTGATAAGGCCATTATGCAGCATTCAGGCATTCTGGAACATTTAGTGGCTGGCGACCTTATCCTGGCAGACAAGGGCTTCTTAATATCTGATATTGTGCCTGCGGGTGTGATTGTGAACATTCCCCCCTTTCCTGAACAAGGGTAAGTTCACAGAGAGTGAGGTGAGAGCTACCAGGGAAATAGCCAAGAACAGGGTCCATGTGGAGAGGGCAAATGCCAGAATAAAGGAGTTCAGGATTCTGGACCTGATTCCTTGCCACCTCAGGAACACTGCAGATGTGCTGGTACAGCTTTGCTGTGTCTTGGTGAACCTGCAAAATCCCCTGATAAAGGAAGTAGCCAGCACCCTCACCGTTGACTAAGCCAGGGGTTCCCAAACCTTTCAGCCTGCGATCCCCGGGGGGAACATCCAGCTGGCCCGCTGCATCCGCTGAGACCAGCCCAAAGTCACACAACGGCTCTTTTAAGAGCCACCTACACCTTTTCTAAAGAGTTACAATCCTAAGTTATTATAATGATTACACTGGTTCATATTTTACTCAGTTTACTGAACTGTGATGCATGAAACCAGAAGGGGAATTGTTGAGGTTTACTGAAGTTACAAAGATATGAGTATAACAGGTCAGTGTAAAAACAAGCTTCTGTCAGTCATGAATCATTCAAACTATTTATATAACCATGTAATACAGTTATGTAGTAGTTCAGTAAAAGTAATTCTTTATTTATATGTCTTAAATATCCTTTATTTTAGAGGGGCCTGAGACTTAACATGTTTATTGCCCAAAATGGCACTGTAGTTATTGTGCATGTGACAATAAGGCCTTAATATTAGGGCTGCACGATATCAGGAACACATAACACGATAACACTTGCTATATTTGAACAAAAACGTACACATGCAGCATTATTACTTTTTCAACAACATGGGATTTATTGTTTATTAGTTACATATCGTGTGTGTGTGTGTGTGTGTTTATTTATATGTCCTCCTCTCTACTGGCCAACACAGGGAGCATATGCTGAGTGTAGTGTTCTCCAGGAGGAGGCGATTTCCATGCCATGCAGGGTCTTTGTTGATGGGGATGATGATCGCCTCCTTCGTGGTCCACACAACAAAATAGCAGATACTCCGGTCTGTGATGTGCAGCTGCCCTTGGACCTGGTGCCAGTATGGGTGATTCTCCTTGAGAACATAAGACCCACCCTCCTCACGGAGACAGAAGGATGGTAACTGGACTGCCTCCGCGATGGTCATGTTCCTCTGGCTGTGTGGACACTTCACCTCCAGCAGGGCAGATGGCTGCACAAGTCCATCGGGTGATGCTCCCAAAACACCCGACTCACTCACAAAGAGACCAGCGTCGAT